CAGCAGGATAACCAGTCAAGGTAAGAAAGAACTTCTTGTTAACAGCAACTGAAGTTACTGGCATTTGGGGGAGGGGGATATTTATTTTTTTTTCCTCTCCCATCTTTTGGTGGAGTCTGTGTGTTTAATACTCCTCAAGTGGCTGAGCCCACAGCAGTAGTGAGATGTGCCCTTGCCCCATAGCGCTCAATCTGAGTATAACAGGGTGTGACAGAAAGAGGTTAGAGGGAAAAGCAGATGATTACAGGAGGAAAGGGTTTAGAAATGCCTTTTGTTAAATAGACAGTTTGGTGCAGGGCTGAGGAGTGGTTTATGAAAGAGAAGTCATTTGGGCTGAAGAAAGCATGTGCATTAAGGGGAAAAAAAAGGGTAAAGCAGTTTGTAATGATTTAGAGGTCCTAAGGAAAACAACATTTAAAGGCTTCTCGGAATCTTTTTATCATGACACTGTTAAAGCATGCAGAAGCCTGGTGCATGGTTTTTATTTTAGGTCACCAGTGCTTCCCAATAGCAGTTTATTGCACATTTCTAGGAAAAAAAATCAAGCCTGCTTCCTTCCAGCATTAAGCTCTGACACGTCAGTTGTGATCTTTGTGAACACAAACCCCTCCTTGGTTTTATTTTTTGTGACAGGCACACTGTCCTATTTACATTCTAGAATCGGCAAACAAGGAACCACTCCTTGATTAAGGGGCACTCAGAATCTTTCATCTGGTTTGACTAGGAGGGAATTTGATGAGACATCCCCTCTGGGTCTGCACTGACTGCTGACGAGGTAATTTCAGCTTGCCTATGCTGTAGAAACACAAGCCTGAGTGGATGAGGCTGCAGGCACCAGAAGATGAAAACTTACAGGCAAACCATCACCATGGCACTGTTCCCGAAATGCAACTCTTTAAGGTCCATAATTCAAATTCACCTCTTCCTGATGCAAAATAAATTCTGTTTCCTTAAGTTCTGCTTGTTCGGAGCTGCAGTAAGTATGGGTTTCTCTCTTTGGAGCTCAGTTTGCTGGAAGTTCTGGGATTATTTCAGTTAGTTGTTCAACAACTTGTACAACAATTACAGAAGCATTATGCTGCAACACAAGACCAAGGGCTTGGAGTTCCCTAGTTAGGTCATTGCTCTCATTTCTGAAGAAGGGGTGAACGTGGATGTGGCAGTAGGTGTCCTACAAGCTGGGAAATATACCCAAGACTGATAAAAAGAGGTTAAGACTAGAGGCTAGATGCAGCATACTGAAAATGAAATGATTTCATGGGAGAGAACTACAGGTGGGCTGGAGGTCCCTCTTATCCCAGCAGTGGGACATAATCCTTGAAAAAGAGAGCTTCACACCAACAGTACTGCAGGCTGGAAAACAGGTGATGGGATCAGTATCTTCTCAACTTGTGTTTAAGGCAGAGCAGAGGGAGGCTGATGGCAAGGAAGTTGCTGCCTTTCCTATCTGACTATTGTCTGAAACATTTAACTCCACAAAAAAAAGCCATTAACAAAAAGGTGGCTTTATCTGTTTAACATTTTTAATAAATCAATAATAATTTAGTACTTTAATAAGTTAAAATGTTTCTTATTGAAGTTCTTAAGTGTACAACCTCTTAACACTTAAGGACTTGAACTACCTATACAGAGAATTAACTAACTCATTATAGCTTTTTGTTACTCTCAACTTTCCTAGGATGAGCTTTTCCAAAAGTTGGGGGAAAAAACTTCATCAGGAAGGGCTCAGGTACCAGGCACTACCCCTAGAGGTACACTCATACCTTAAAAGAGCAAACATTCCAGAGAATTTTTTCCAAACAGAACTGGCATGGCCTGGGGTCTTCTCAAACTCTGCCCTGAAGCAGGAGTATGGAGATTTCCTGTCTCAGCTGCTGCTGCTCTTGGAGACGTGGCACATGGAAGCACAAGCTGGATGGAGGATCTTGGCACCAGCACAAGATGCAGGTTTACGTGAATAACTCTGTCCAGCCCTGTCAGAGGCCAACAGATTTTTAACACATCAATATTTTTAACTCAGGTCTGCATATGATTATGAAAGTTGCCTTGTACTGTGAACATAGTTGACTTTCTTAAATAAACCACATAAAAAGCTGTTGTTTTTTTCTTTTAACAAGAAGTGGCTGAGGAAGGAAGTCACAGTGCAGCAACTTAACTATTCTATAAGAATACTCATTTATTATCTAGAGCTGGGGAAGGCAGTGGATCAATTCATTAGCACAACAATTTGGAGCAGATTCAGAAGTTGTCCCAAATTATTATTTCTTATAAACTGCGCTGGCATTGCTGCACAACTAATTCTCTGACTGCCGAATCAAGCACGGAAAGTCTTTTAAAGCTGTCTAACAAATCAAGTGTATAAAATAAAAACATGCTGCTACTTGTAAGTAGCAAGCAAACCATCAAAAAACCAGAACAGTTAAAAGCTTTTAATATAAAATCCTTTTTTCTCTCCCAAACCACCAGCACTGTATTACAGCAGGTGTATTATAGTTAAAGGAACACCATCATGATCTTCATGTATGATGTAAAAATTTTCCAAATAATTCATAGTCCATTTCTGTACATTTCAGTTTATCAACATACACTGTAAACAATCTGTTTTCAGTTCAGCAGATGTCACTACCACCATTTCTCAAAGAACACACAGTTTCCAGGAACACCTATGTTTGACAGGAGTTTGGATATAGATTCTATCATTGGAGGTGGACCACAGATGTACCATAAAGTATCCTTAGATACATGTTCTTCTAGATCTTTTTCAGATATTCTTCCCTCTGACAAAGAAAAAAAAGCAGGAAATGAGACCATAAATATTACTGATGAAATATTTTTAAAAACAACCGGTTAGGGGTATTTCCAGCACTCATTTCTTAAAATGCTATGCCTGTTTAAGGATAATAATAGGTATCAAGATTTGGGGCTTCCCAAACCATTTGTGCTTCTGGTGATTGAGATCAGTACTTCCAGCTGGAATGCATGGGATATTAGTCACAGAAAACATGGCTACATATCCCACATTACTAATATCCCACTTTCGGATGAAAAAAACAAGCACAAATACAGCCAAAATGAAAACATTATGAAGTATCTCTTATAAGCAGACAACTTGTCTTCATGAATCTCACCTTAAGCAAAGTAAATATTTTGCTTAATAGTTTCTGGAAAAAAGTTCACAGTGGGAAATACCACTATAAAGTTTAGAATTAAGAGAGGTTATTTACTACAAATGAAAAAAGAAAAACAACCTGCCAGGGGAAATATTTCTCCAAAGCATGATTTGTGCAGTGAAATTATTTAGGCTTAACTCGCATCTCATTTTGAACCTTTACATGTAAAAATACTACATTACGTATATACATTAGCACTTACTATACTTCATCCTCTAGAATGTAATCAAACTTAAGACTATAGAAGTGATTTGTCTGCTTTGCCATTACATTTACCTGTAACATATGGCTGAAGTTCTTTACAGATCTGTGAACTCTGCTGGGTGACGTGGAAATGACATGTGATCTTTCCAGGAAATGCATTCATCAAACCAAGGATATTTTTCTGTAATGTTAAACACACTTGCTTATACCGTAGGCCATTAAATCAAAGCAGATGTATGCATACAGTCCCAGATCATTACTGAGTACCAAGGCTCTTGCATTTCAGTGCTGAGAACTTGATGGGCTGGATTTCACAGGGTCATGTGCACATACACAGAATTTTCATACCTTGAATGAGAAGGCTCAACCAGCTGTTTTTAGTGCTTTTCTCCTTTTTATTTATTTTTTTTTTTTTACAATACATTGTAAGATTTGGATCTAAGAACCAGATACATCCTTTCCCAGTTTCTTCCCCATATGAATTCTTACAGTTCCTCCTTCTACTTCCATATGGGTTTTCAATTTAAAAAAAATCCCCGCAGTTGGTACTTACCATTTGTTTGGAACTTTTCTGAGTATTGTGTGCTTTACCTGGTAAGATTACTAACCTCTTCACTCCTTCATGTTCTCCAAATAAAACCAACTACAGTGTAATGCTAATGCTATTTTTACCAGAGCAGAAACTCTGTAATTTTCAGTTCCCTAAGTCACAACTTTGGTAGCTACCAACAAAAACCCAGTGGTTTCAGTTAGTAAACAAAATTAATCTGTCAGTCAGATGCTGTAGTTAGTTCTGAAACTAAGATTTATTTACTGTTTAGGTTCTGTACTTGGGATTTTCATTGCTGGAACAGCAATTTTTTCTTAAATATTCTGAAATAAAACTAATTTCTACTTGGTGAATATGTAAATTAGCTCATTTTGTTAGGTGTTACTAACTACTTACTACACTGAACAGTCTGCCACAGGTAGCATAACAGAAAAAACCCAGACAGATCCTACCTAATAGCCAAATCTGTTTGTGATTCCCTAAGAAGACATGGAACAAAAAGCAGCACAGACACTGCTGTGCATTCCTCCACCATACCTCTAACTTTGCCCAGTTTTCACTCTTCTAGATAGGACTCAATTTCTGTTCCCTTCATATGGCACCATGTATATTTTGATAGCACTTTCGAAACTAATCACATCGGGCTGAGGTAGAGCCCTAGGACCAAGCCAGAAAGCATGCCTGAGGTAGGACTTAGCCTGTCTAAATCAGTCATTCACAACACCTACTTGTAACCTGTCTGCAATCCAGGGACACAGACAGAAAGTAGCAAGTACCATAGAAGTGACAGAAACCACCACAGTGCTATTTTCTAGTATCCTCAGACAAGGGCCAGGCTGTCTTTAAGTGAATGAAGGAGGATTTCAACAGATCAACAGGCTCTCTGCAGTCAAGTGAGTTAGTGCATAAAATGAAGCCGACAGCTGAGCAACATAGACCTATCCCAGAATCTGAGCCACAATAAGGAAATGCAGGTCACATTAAATCCTCAAGAAATCAGGAAAACCAGCTCTCTGGCATCGTGAAGTAGCACAGTTAATAAGTTGTCCTTTGTAACTCTATTCCAATGCTCTATGTGGGGGACATGCCTGTTTTTTTCAGGGAACAGGTCCTCTAAAACATTACAGACAACCTAAGTTCCTTGTAGAGATTTGTACAGATTTATCTCACAACAACATGAAGACTCTAGTGATCTTCTTTCCCCAATCCTCTGGACAGAAGTAAAGAATTTTCATACACATTTTGGATTTGAGGAACACATGAAGAATGAAGGGAAGGATGTATTTAAGCACTGCAGCGTATCACTGTGTTCTCTCCTGTCCCAGAAGCTCTAATGTAAAAGCTCTGCAGTCATAACAGTGCTCAAGTGAAACTCAGGAAATGCTAGCTCCTGCATTGAAAGAAAACTGTATGCTTAGAACAGACTCCAGGATTAGCAGTTGGCCAAATGGATACATTCCAGTTTATTTTTCTGCTTCTAGCAACAAACAAATGACTTTTCAAAGAAAGCAACATCTTCATGTCTAAAAATATGGTAGAAGTACAAAAGACATACTAGTGATGGATCCTATACACAATTTCTGGAATCATGAAAGCAAAAGCTTTCAATACTTCAAGGAAACCTAAATCATTAAAGGATGCTTCCTTACAGAAGCTGTCCTAATTTGACCCTAAAATGTTATCAGTGATCCTCAATGGCCGAGTGTGACAACTGATCTTGTAATGGCTGATTAAATGTTGATGACGTTCTGTTACAATCAATTTTATGAGAAATGCTTATACATCCTTCACTCATAGACAAGTACACTATAGTAATAACTAATGCATTATCAATAAAGCTCCCCTAGCATTTCAGACAGCACTTCCTTTAGATAAAATTGCTCTTGCTGGTCTTCGATAAAATCTGTACTGATATGACACGGCTTTAGTATTACAACTTACAGCATTAGACATACTATTAGTGACCATATACAAATATATATTATAGTATAGATAATCTTTAGTATACTCTGATGCTCTTATGAGATTATAGTAAGATGTATACATTTAGGACTAACTGACTTATGAGACCATGAGTCCATAGACAGGTGTGTCCAACAGTAGCCTTAATTTGTACACTGGTAGTAAGTAATTAAAACACACAAGGGATCTGAGGCAGGAAGTTAACTTTTGTCTCTGTTTGTACAGTGTCCTACACAGAGGGGTTCTCTAGAATTTAGCAACAGAATGATACACACACTAATAGCTGAACATCTCAGATCTATTTTTAAAAAAACAACACTTATTTACCTTAAATAAGAGTTCACTCGTGTTTTTTGCACTGTAGTACAGCTTCACTGTTCCCATTCTGTATCCATTTCCTTTACCCTCTTGGTATCCATGAAGATCTGCTATATGCAGCAGTATAGAAAACAATGGATTAATTCCAACACCCCCTGCTATCAGCACTAGTTTTACAGGGGAGTCACCAGGCTGAGGATCAAAGAAGAAATCACCTCCCACTCGCAGAGCCACTTCTGAGTCAAGAGTACACTAGGATGGAAAAGAAGATATTTAATTTCAAAACTAAAAGCAAAAGTTGAAGTATTATTCTTGCACCACAGTCACAAGACTTGCTGGCCTGCAATTTTTTATTTTTATTTATCAGTGAGGGAAAACTGAAGTACTTTAAAATGGACACACCATTTCCAGCTATCTGAAGTAATCTCTCATTGTCTCCAGGGAGCTAGTTCTACTTTCAGAAGTTTCGGTCTTCTGATAAGGCAGGATGGTGACTCCCCCTTCCCAACCCCATAAGAGCTGAAAGAGGAATGATTCATGCAAGGGTTCAACAGCAGTATGTGGTTGCAAAAAGTAAAGCTTAGTACGTGAGATCACACTTTTACCCAAACCCAGTCTCACGTCAAAAAGGCCTGGCCTCCTTCTGTGACCCATAGCAAGAATGAGCTGCATAGATGCAGAAGGTTTTTCCATCCCCATTCCTAAAAAATAACCGACCAGAAGTGAAGCAAGTAGCCATAAGAAAATTTCTTGCAGAACCACTTCTGCATTTGCAACTTCACAGTTGTAGGAGAAAAAGCAGGGCAAAACCTTCTCTCTTTCTGTCAACTTGTACACAAGAAATTATGTTTTAGACAAATTTGCCGAAGCGTGGGTTCGTTGTTTTTTTTTAAAACTACAGTTGCAACAAACATCATGTGGGTCAGTATCTTCTTGGTAAACTGACACTGCACCCTGGTACAAAGGTTCAAATTGCAGTACAGAGAAGCCAGATGAGTTCTCCCACATCACTGGAAGCCAACAGAACAAACAGGAGCAGAAAACATAACTAATTTTCAGGTCATATAGGGGGTTTAAAAAATAAAGAGGATAAGGAAATCAAGGAAGGTGAGAAAGGAGGAAAGGAAAAAAAAGTAAAGCTACAAGAAGTGATGAAAAATTAGTGTTAAACCACAGAATAAAAAATGATTCCTCCAAAAGATCATTTTGATATCAGGAACAGTTAATTGAAACAACAGGATTTCCACTAGGGATAACTGTATAGTAAGAAAATGTCCAAATAGGTAACAATTCCACCAGGAGGAAGAAGGAGGCCCTTTGGACAGGTACTGCACAGAATACAGAGGTTCCTGCAGTAGTGAGCATGGCCAGTAAAGTTTTTTTACTCTTATTATTGCATAAACTATTATCCCTCAATTATAGCGTAAGACAATCATTATTTATTATCTGAAACTAATTCCTCTCTTCCCTTTCAGTGTCCACTGCCAGCCTTCCCCACCATGTGTTACTTCATTTTAGGGACACATGAATCCAGAAGTGTTACAGATTCATGTCCCAGAAGGCGGACATGAATATGGTATCCTTTGTAGAAATAAGCATTTTTAAGGATAACCAATCTCATTCTTGTCTAATCTACCTCCTTAACCAGCTCATAAAGATGGGACACAGGAAGAATCTCTCTTAACCAGCAGTCACTCACATGTTTCAGTGCATTAGCCACAGTAATAACATTAGTAAGAAGTAAGATTTCAAAAGAACCAATACATTCTGGAGTAATACAGTGAGGAAATGTTGTCCTTTAACCTAGTTTGTAAATACAGCATTGAAACAGCTTAGACAGAGAAGTGAAGGAACTGGTACATTACCCTCTTCCCAACAAAAGGCTGTATTTTCCTGAGCTATAAAGTACACTGTGCTGGTATGATTCTACATACAGCAATATTAAAGAATATATCTCTGAAAAAAACAAAGTGAGTAAATGAGTACTAACTGTTCTCATAACACCGTTTACCCTGATGTACCAACTTCCTTCATAAGTAACCTGTAAATAAAGTACAAGAGTTTATTTTCCAACATATATACAACCTTCTCGAATTCTAGGTTGCTATTTTTTTCCTTTATCTTTCCTAAGGAAAAGCATGCACTTCTGTTTAGCTGGAAGAGTCCATATATACCCTGAAGGTTTCCCCACAGCATCAGTTTTGACTTAAGCTTACCTGCTACCTAAAGATTTTTCTATAAATTCAACCAGAAAACTCAGCAGCAGCAAACTGATTTACAGCACCAAAAATCCTGAGAGCCTGCAGAGACCAGGAATATGAAGTTAGGCCTTCATATTCCCTGAAGAGCAATAACAAAATCCTCCTAGGTATTACATGGTCTGCTGGTACATACACTACAAGTTCTACCCAACATCTCAAAAAGAATATTTTGTTTATGTGCCAGTGCAGATAACTTGTTATAAAACCAATTACAACACTGGAGTGTCATATGCTAACTACTCAATTAGCACCACTTCGGATAGTCTCAATTCTAGTAAATCTTCATCAATCTTTGCCATAATTGTGCTGGCTACTGAACAAAACTGCAATATTTGTAAACCTGGAAGAATCCGAATTTAAACATTGCAGCCAGATTTAAGAAATACAAATTCCAGAAAGAGAATAGCAAATACGACAGATCACAGGGGGTCAGGAAACAAACAAAAGTTGATAGGACAGGTCATCTATGAAATCTGGTCAGCAGCAGAAATAACCCTCTTCTGACAATAACGAAGTGGGGTAAATGGATGAACAAAACACCAAAGCATCAAACTTTACTTTAATCTAGCAAAAAAAAATCAAGATTTGGTTTATATCAATATTACTAAAATATTGCATATTTAAAAGTATACTATAGAAATTCTGAAGTATTTTATTGTTTTATAATTTCAGAAAAACTGATCAAAAAATCTTCCTTTGCTCCCCCCTTAATAATCTATATTTACATTTCTCTGACAATGATTCCCAGCTTGTATTTGTAGAAACAGGCAGGAATGATGGCAGGACATCAGATTTAACTTTTCCATGTGTGACACAGCCTGTTCTCAGGGACACAAGTCAGAACAGAGGTTTTTCAACATTTTTCTGTTCACAAATTCCAAAGGAGTGTGAACCCCTATATGCACTAACTACAGTATCACTGTAAAGCCACCAAGCACAAGTGGAGGAAAAAGATCAAAATAACTGTATTACCACATAAACATCCAATTTCAGTCTGAACAAAAGGTTTTACTGAACAAAAGGTTGCAAGATTTACATTGTATTAAAATATTGAACAATTCAGCAGGAGTTTTTCAGCAAAAAGTGGTCTAAAATCACACCACCCCTTCCACCTCACAACCCCCTCCCCCCCCAAATCTCACAGTTCATCTTATTTACCTCAGTATGAATCCAGTGAGCAGGAGGATGAACAGTGTGCTTTACTGCCAACTCTAATATTCCTTCTCGTTCCAACAGGCCAGGGCTGGAACATATTGAGAATCCCCCAACTACAGATATTCCAGGAATAAAGAAATCAACCCTAAAAATAGATCAGAAACAAAAGTTAAAAAACATAAAAAGTCAGGAACTCCAAACATGGAAAACAATAAACAAAACAAAATGGCCACCTTTGTTTCAATTATCCTTCTTTTATAAAGACATCTTCATTTTCATATAATAACTTTTCCAAAAAAGGACTTAATCTTGAGTAATGCCATTTCCTTAAAATAATCTCCATCTAAAAACATCATCACCTTTATTAAACTAGCAGGTTTTTTAACAGTTCTGCTTTTAGCATTAGATGCCACATTTTAGAAGAGCCTAGAATTCTAAGTGTTTAAGTAAATAATTTACTTATTAAAACAAAACCACAATATGGTCTGACAGAGTGGCTTAAATACTGTTCTTTTCAGTCCCTTTAATGGGCTCTTCAATTTTCAAACATAAGAACATTGGGGAAACTAATGTTAGAGAAATTATGTTTGATTCAACACCTTCTTTTATTGGGAACATGAAATATTTGAAGTAAAACCATAGTCTGTAAAAAATTTGTTATGTGAAAAATCAGTTACTCACAGCAGAACTGCTTCCCTACTAACTGCAGTGCCCTCTGGTGGCACTTAACTTTTTCTAGTTGCACTGGAATAAATTACTTTTTTTTTTTTTTTTTTTTTTTTAAGTTAAAATAAACTACACATGGCATTCTACAGATTAGAAGGTATGGCTAAGCTTTTGCAACATCAGAAATTAGACACTATGGAAGGCAAGCTATTACTACATGAGCTATAATTAATTTTCATAAAAGTAAGGCTTTAATATTCTAGACAGTCTCAGAATTTACAAAATTATTTAAAATCTAACATTTAAACTCAGCTGTGTTGCATAAGTCTTTAAATACTTCACTCTTCTACAGCACATAACAAAACCCTTGCAATTCAAAAGAAAACTAATGTTTTAGACTAATTGTGCTGCTCCACTTAGGAAGACTGGTAAGCAATGCCAAGTACTAGAGAATCATTACGAAATTCAAGCCTAAGTTAGGCTGGCTCAGTACTAGTTAAATGAGAATGCAATAAGAAACACAGACAGGCTTCAACTGCATAGGTAGTTTCTTTAAACAGCAACACTGTATTCTTCTCAGGAATCACAAATTCCTGAAGGAAAGAAGCACCTGGAATTGTTCACTACTTTTTAAAGAAAAAAAAAATCTTGCCTCCTTAGTCCCCACAAAGCTTCACCCTTCAAGGAAGAATATCCTCTTTTTCTGTCAAAGAATGTGCAACGTGTGATATATACAGTACCACAGTGATATTATTTTTAACTTTGTGCTAATAAACTTGATGATGTATAAAGGTATCTGACTGCAAATGAAACATCAGCTACCAAAAAAAGCTGAGAAGGCTTATTTCGTTGTTCTCAGCTTCTGCAGCCCCACTGACCATGGCGTTCAGTCTTCCTGGCAGTAAAGATCTAAGAGATTAGAAAGGATGATTCTTGTATTGTAGCACTTATTGTAGCAAGGAACACCTCAAGATGCTAGTTAAGCTCTTTATCACCCTCTGGTGGAAAATAATTTTACTACTTATATTAACCAAAAAACCCCACAAAAAAACCCTAAACATTTGTGCTGTAAAGTAACAATTTACATTCAAGACAAAATGTTCTGATTGACATGTAAGGGAAGCATTATTTGTGCTGGGTGGGGATACATACATTAAAAAAACAAATATTGCTGTAAACTCTAAATCAAAAGTAGCTTTTTAACCATCTAAAGTACTAATATATTCTTATTTTTCTGTCTATATTAGTATTTCTTTCCCAGTTACATAACTATGAGAGATTTCAGGGCACAGTATAGTGGATTAGCTTGTATTTCTGATGGTTTGTCTCATCTTGGTTTTGTGTAGGAAAGGTAAGAGGATTCCTGAAGAAATACTATCTGTGACAGCTTAAGCAAAGAGTAGTTGTAGGGGAAAACAAACAAAACCCACCCCTATATAAACCCACGAGGAGAGAAGCAAAAGGATGTAAAGCAGAGATCTTATGGTCATTTTTAGTTCTCCTTTTAAAGGCTACCTAAGCCACACCTTTAAGAAAGGAACAAGAATTAGCAGTTGCTGGAAGGTCAGAAACATGAAAACTATGAAGCTACTTAAAAGTATTTATAACACGCATACACCTCAATGCAAGTTTCAGCAAACCAAAATGGGTAGCAGCAGTAAGTCTCTTCATTGTTACTTCAAGTCAGATCAAGATCAGTATCTGCAAACATGATTGCAAAACAAATTCACTTTCACCTCTAAAAGACTTGATACTTAGAACACTTTGAAAACCCACACATTTTAGTGACAATCGTTGGCTGTAACATATTAGTGTAGCAAATTCTAACAAGTTAGCCTATTCTACTCAGGAAATTGTGGCGTGGTGTTTCTTACTGCTCATCAAAAAATGCAACCACAGTTTATAGCTACAAGTACAGAAAAGTTGTTGTATACCTTACAATAGCATAAGAATACTTTCAAGGAAGAAGAAAATGAAAAAGAGTAATTATAATTAAAGCTTTCAGTTTTCACCATGATAATTTCTAGAACTTGGAAAGGATAAATGCACTTTCCAAGTACTGGCAAGCAAGAATTTTAATATTTTTATTTTTTTTTTGCACATGTGCAAAAACTGCAGCAAATTACTCCACAAACAAATTAATTGCAAATCAGCATCTTGTGTTCTGGTTCTAAATTTAAAAAACAGCATAATAACACTACATGAGCAACATATGCTGTTAATATTCTAGCAGTTATACTTTGATTCCAGCAAAACCACTTTCAGACATATAAGCCAATAAAAAGTTTAAGAACACTTAAGCGATAGAATTATTTGGGTTGGAAGGGACAATAAAGATCATCTAGTTTCAACTCCCTTGCATGGGCAGGGACACCTCCCACTAGACCAGGTTGCTCAAAGCCTCATCCAGCCTGGCCTTTAACACTTCCAGGGATGGGGCATCCACAGCTTCCCTAGGCAACCTGTTCCAGTGCCTCACCACCCTCACAGGAAATAATTTCTTCCTAATATCTGATCTAAATCTACCCTGTTTCAGCTTAGAACTATTTCCCCTCATGCTATCACTATGTGGCCTTGCAAAAAATTCCTCCCCAGGTTTCCTTTAGGGTCCCTTCAGGTACTGGAAGGCTGCTGTAAGGCCACTACTAAGAGACCTTAAGCAACCAACACCAAAAGCAACTACTTGTAGTTTTAAATTAGTATTTAAGGAAAAAAAAATATTGAGAGAGTGCATTTTTATCAAGGAAGGAAGACACACAAAAATCCACTATTTCCCTGGAATAAAAGAAAATCTGTAATGTTGCTTAACCAAACAGCTAATTATTTCACAGGCTTACTAAATCAAGTTTTTTAAGTTTGCCTTTCTCTATTTACATATTAATCTGACCTAAAAGGCTTAACTTTCAGAGTGCAAACTTCTAGGGGAAGAAAAAAGTCAACAGGCAATTTTGATTTAATTATAAACCAAAACTAAGTAATTTGCAAATCAGAAGTGGTCTTGGCTCCACTGTAAAGATTACTAGTAAAAGATAGTAAAGACAGCTTGCAGAATAAAGTGCAGTGTACTGCAAAGTATTATTGGAGAAACAATGTAATATACTTAAACTAGATAAAAATACCAAAAGGGTCAAGTATCAGAGGCCTTAAAATGCTTTGTAATAGAAGATTTCCACTGGTAATTTCCCCTTCAAATATCAGATCTTACCACTGTCCTGCTTTGAAAGTAAAATCCTTATTTGCAACAGCCAAACAAAGTCTTTTGACTGTTTCCGACTCATCAGTGATTCCACAGACTTTTGCTTGTGAAATTACCTAACAAAAGAAAAACAAGCCATTGTGTTACAGATATATATTCTTTGCAGCAAACGCACTCAAGACTCTGTGTAGGAGATATGTATCGCTTCACATGTTCTCTGTGGCATTTCATTACCTAAGTACCAATATTTATCATTGGGGTGAAGAAATGCAAATGGGTATTCACTTACATGGCCACTGAAGAAAAATGGTTTTCTACTTACAGTTCACCATGTCTGCCATTTTTGCCAGAGCTATTCTAAGATTACATACAAACTTGGTTTATCTCAGTTGAAGAAGACATGATGATAAAGAGAAGTGATTCTTTTGGCATCTATACAAGGCAAACACTCCTCTATATTTCCAGCAACAAAGTAAAAAGAGGTCCGACAAAAAGGCTGACAAGGAAAACTTGTAAAATATCAGCTGCTACTGAAGTCGCAGGGAGAACTCTGGAGCTGTATCAAGTTTCATGTAAGTAATTGAATACATTACTACAAGGCTATGCATTGATGAGAGAAAACGAAGAAGCTCGAGTTACTGCATTTATGCACACATATTTGACCATGTATGTGATTGATAAAGACAGGGAGACTGCGACACAAGCATTCATTGCCAGTTAACAGAAGAGTTGTTCTTTGGCAACCAGAAAGGAAGGGATGCAAGACAGTTGCCATAGTTGATACTGCTTTTAAAGATTATTTTTTTTTTTTTTAATTATGAAAAATAATGCCTTAATAAATAAAAAGCAGATTTTGCAACAGGACAACTGGGAAGGAGCTCCCCACTTAAAACACTTCGATGTTCATCAGCACAACACAGATTTTCACCTCCTGCCCTCCTTGCCCTTCCTCTTCAGGTATTTTTGAGTTAGAAGTATTAACCTTTTTCCTCTACAAAGGGACTAATGCCCTAAGTGTTTTCTACACAGGCCAATATACAGATTTTACTCTGTTAAAAAATGCTGATGTCATTTACCACACTAGGAAATACTAATAATACCACTGCAACTCTACCATTTCTCATTTGTATAAGATCAAACAGACCAAAAAAATGTTAAACTTTAAGCAGTAACACTCTAATTTAAAACACATGGCAGGAAATTAATTTATCCTTAAAGCAACATCTGAACACGTCCACTGTCCCATTAAACAGCAGGACACTTGCCAATTTAAAATAAAGTAGCATATATTTCTTTTCCACTTTAGCAGACAGTATGAAATGAGGAATGCAGTCACCCTAAGTTTACAAGAGATTTGTCAGACACATGACTTAAATGGCTGCTCTGATGGAGAAACCTTACGTGCAGGAAACGGATATTAAGTTTGGATCTTCTGCATTCCCTTCTTTAGTACTCACTACACTCCCTAATTTGTTCTTTGGCCAATACATCTGACAGAGCACTGGAAATTTAATCCTCAATCACTATAAAGTTATTACAAATACTGGATTAAAGTTAGGGTGATCGAAGACATTCAACTAATATTTTGGATCATCACAAGAGTATCCAAGTGACCCAGAACAAAGCTGCAATAAGAGGGAAAAGGACACAGAAGTCCAGACTTTTGTATTTCAAGAAAGCATTAGGCATTTTTTCTTGCCCTGGTCCTTCCCATCACCACTCTTCAACAGGTGATATAGCATAGCACGCACACTAACACAACACAGACCTACAATTCTTTCATCTTTCTACAGAACTGCAATGGCCAAATAAGGCAACAGAGACTGAGGGAAGCCAAATGCTGATTATATGGAATTTAAAACCAAGCAAAGGATTTAAAATAAACTTAAAGTGGGCAGAAATAACAAAGAATAAATCAAGCATTAAAAAAAGAAACAGCATAATCCTCTGATATGCAGAGAATTTGCGGTAGGAGAAGCGAGCCCTGCTCTTTTGCCTATCCCAGGCATGTATCCCCCCCAACCATTCTTCTTCTGAGTAGAATTCCTTAAGCCTGTGACTTATTCTCAACTATACTCACAGATAAGGAAAAACATAACAGAAAGTTACACACACATACGCACATTAAAAGCTGTGTAATGTGTTTGAGAACAGAGAGCTTGTCCTGCAGTGTGACACATGCAGGACTGGCCTGTCACAAACAGCTACTCAAAGCTAAGAAAAACTAAGTAATGGAGAAAAACTGGGCACTGTTTTGCAACTGCTAGGAATTAAAAGTTGGGATTTTTCAGTCAATAAAGGGCTCCACTTCTCCTGAAAAGTCTAAGAAAAATGCAAAATTGTTTCACTAGTGAAACATTTTTGAGAACTTAAGTCATATTCTCCCAGTATTTAAAAATTTCAAAATGTGTACTTTAGCTAATTACAGAAAGGAAATACCTGTAAGAAATAGTTTGTTCACCTCTAAACATTATGAAAAAGAATGCTTACTGCACAAAACTGAGATTCAGAATAAACATTTCTAGATTTTGATGGAAGACAATGCTATATCTTCCTTGTATTTGTGAATTAAAATAGAGAGAAACTAAGCTCTATTATGCAACTGCATATCATCTCTCCCTTCAAAATGTCTACATTTTTTGTCTTACCTCTTATGTTAGAAAAGGACATTTTCCTAATCTCAATTATGAACCAGAATTGTAGGAACCCATAAGAATCTGAGCAGCTTGTATAGAGATGATGGGTATTGGTGTGTTTTCATTACTCACCATAATCTATACTTGACAAAATTCTATTGTTTCTTGCCCAATGTAAACACATTACATGTCACAGATAATTTTCATAACTCATTACATTTCACCCATTGACCACAAAACCCACTTATTTGACAACTATATAAAAGACAAAAAATGAGGGGAAAAAAAGTAGTAAAACAGACTCTGGTACAAAACAAAATGAAGTCCAAGTATCAAATAAAATTATCCCATTTCTTCACACCAATAAGCAGAAAACAAAAAAACCAAAAACCTACATCCTAAAGAACAGAACACTAACCTCTTGACGAAAATTATTTGCAGTCCTCTCTAGATGATCCATTTTCCTTTTTGATATTATTGTGCTGCAACAAAAAGCAAAGATAATTGTCATTAACAGCTGTGCTGTCCCTTACCAGTATGAATTTCTATTAACATAACAAATTACCACTGTAATGCAGACAACAGCTGACATAAGGCTAAATGCAAATCTAATATAAACTTATAAATGGGAGTCAAATAAGTATTTATAAAACTGCAATAATTTGTCAGCTTCATTTTTACAGTGCTACTACAACCCTCTCTTTGAAAGAAAATAAAGAAAAAAAAAGTTATTGTATATTGTTTTCATTTAGCCTGTAGCTGGGGCTATACTTAAATCAGTTTACTCTCTCACCCCCAGCCAAGAATAGGAATCAGGAAGAGGAGAGAAGCCCTGTGAGTTGAAATATAATGAAATAAAATGAAATAACAAAAGTAATACAAACCCCAACATAAAGTACCTAAGTTTATACTCAGGCTAGTCCTCAGAAGTAGCAGAGGGAGGAGCAGGCCAAGAGGGAGGAGCTCCAGGAAAATACCTCTCTACCCTCAGCATACTTCCCCCTTTTATAATGAACATGAGGTGAGAGGTGCGGGATACACTTGTTGGTCAACTTGCGTCAGATGCCCTCACTTAAGCTCCCTGCTGACTTGGGGCTACTAATGGCCTGCTCTCCACAACTGGCCTATAATTCTGTCCCAGTGAGACCAGGATGTATGTAGACAACCTACCCATTTGCTGTGCAGGAACAAAAAGCAGAGTGCCTCAACACCACCAATGCAGAATGAGTGGGAAAAATTCTGCTAGCACGTCTCAGTAATTGAGGAACAGTAAAACCCACACAAATAGTAGCATAAGCCATGATGACTGGATTGTCTTCAGAATCACCAGCTCCTGAAAAATCCATATAAATATTTGTTAAATAAAATACCCACTGTTTAACATGACTTGTTTTCACCCTTTATTTCCTTTAAATCAGAAAGACCAAAGCTCAGCTGAAGCTAAAACTAGTAATAGGCATACAGGGTAACAGTGAGGAATTTTAGAAGTACGAAAGTATAAAGAAATGAAAATGTGCATCCATCTATTGAAGGGGAAGACAGGAAGATAATCTTGTCACAGATCACATGGAGAAGGCTGAAGTTCTCAATATTTTTTTTGCCTCAGTCTTTGCTTGCAAGTCTTTTTTTGCACAAGCTTTGCCTGTGAAGTAGGAGTGAGGCCTGCAACAGCTTAGAGAAGCTGGATGTAGTCAAATGCACAGAGCCTGACGGTTCACACTCAAGGTGGCTAACAGACACAGCTGGGAGGCTTGTGAGGCAACTCTCTGTCGCCTGTGAAAAACAGTTATCAGAGAAAGACCTGAGTTGCCTCAAAAAAGACTAATACATAGCCATTTTTAAGAGGCAAGAAGCCACGCCTCTGCCCAGTCAGCAACACCTCAGTCTCTGGAAAAATGCTCAGAGCTTGTCCCATAAGCTGTGTGAAAGCTAAGAATGTAATCAGGGAGATTCAACACAGAAATACCAAGGACAAATTATGTTTGACAAATCTGAACACCTACTGCCATGAAATGTCTGGTCATGCAGCTAAGGTAACAGCAGTAGGAACAATATACCTTGACTTTCCTGTGGCTTTTGGCACCATCTCCCACAGCATACAAATTAGGAAGCTGAGGCCAGGTAAAATGTTGGAGTTGCTGAGGCCTGGCTGGGCAGGCAGACAGACTTATATCTTGATGGCTTAAAGTTGCTTCAGTTGCTGGCTGGTACGAGTACCCTGGGGTTGGTACTGCAGCTGATAGTGCTCAGTAACTGTACCACTAATTGGGATGAAGACAAATAATGTACCATACTAAATTAGAGGGATGGCTGACATGCTGAATGATAAGGCTTCACTTCAAAGGAACACTGAGAAGCTGCAGGACTGGAAAATAGAAACCTCATGAACTTAAAGGAATACAAAGGTCTGCACCTGGGCCTTGCCTGGCCCAGTGCTGTCAACTGTCCTGCTCCAAGAAGCAGCTTTAACTAGATGACCCTCAGAAGTCCCTTCCAGCCAACGTATCTGTGATTCTCAATACTTAAACAATAGTTTTGTTGGAAAGCTGATCAGACAAATGCTGGGTAGGCATTGCTTTTCTATTTGTAAAGAAAGGGTTCTGGATGGAAAATTTTATAAACATTCAAGAAAACATTTTCCTTACAGGTTAATTTTAAAAAATATGTATCTCTCCTTCTTCCACATGTCCTACATAATACTGACACTGCTAAACAGTTAAGCAAGTGGCAGACACTTACATGCACTACAGTGGAAACATGGCGTGAAGCTTCAGAAATGCATACTCAAACGGACCTATGACAGCAAAAGACAAACTGACATGTACAATATTCAAAATAAGTCAGTCGCTTACAAAGTGCAGAATAGGTCTACAGCGAGTCCAGAGGTACTTCTCATTGCTTGTAAATCTGCCTTTGCTTTTCCTAAAATGGATCAGCATAATTATCTATCATATTATTGTCACCTAGCAAATTATCATTATTATTTCTACAATGTAGTCCATTGCTTCTTTAAAGCATTCTTAATCTTTTTCTTCCATTTAAATCTCGTTGCCTGCATTCTTTTAGAGCATGTAATTTATTTTCACAATGTTGTTTTTCATTTTAAACCCTTTGAAATGGCAACGATCCAGCTTGATTAACTACTCAGGCCTGTACTTTCTAGGCTTTCAATAACAGCTGCATTGGCCGGTCACTTAGTAATTTGTCCCATTAGTAATCTTGTTCAAATGGGAGGTAGAGTTTTCACAAATTAGACTGCTCAGAAATGCAGTACATTTACTGTAACTACTCCAAATGCCCACTTTCAAGCATAAGAAATACTTCCTGCAGCTTTTTTAACTGCCCATAATTTTAAATAGTTTTTTAGCATTTAATTCCACAGCAGCTTGCAATTTTTCAAAGTGGAATTATTTAAAACTCATTCGACATCAGTGAAAAAAATGATGTTAATTTTTTTGTCATAGCTTATGCAGGGTATCATATTTGAACAAAATATTGTAGCACTTTCTACATGCAAAGGTGTAGAAGCAATTGATAACAAAAGTATTATTATTTTAGCAAAACAAAGTACGTATCTAATGAAGAAGGCACATCCTTCTACGTCAGCATGTTCAATTTATAAACCCTGAGTGCTCACAAATCATCAAGCTATTCAAATTCATGAGATAATGTTATAATCTGGAGTCTTTTAGATAGGAGATCTTGGTTATATCCATATAAAACTCTTTTTTAATGGCTTCCAAGCACTTTTGGATTCATGTTTTCAAGCTTGTTAGTCTAACACATTAACTAATTAAAATTAAAACTGAAAGATGTTTGAATATGAACGTTCTTATGTTAAGCTGTTTATGCCAATAGCTGTGACTAATAACATCACCACAACATAACAGTGAACCACATAAAGACCAACACTCTGCTTCAGAGGCCAAGGACTGAGAATAAAGATTTAATTATTCTTTTTTTGTATTTTTTTTAATCACCTCATATCCTTCAAACCCCTTTGTGCAATTGCTAGTAAACACAGCGACATCTGCTGGTAAAATAAGTGGCTTAACTTTAAAATCCAATACAGAGATTTGTGATTGTTTATTTTACGTAATTGGTTTAATTCCGCTGCTAAGATTGACAGCCACTTAAAACCAGCCTCATTCTCATTTTCTCTGCTATGCTTTGGAAAAAAAATAGGCTCAGCTCTACGTATGAAAATATAAAATAAACACACAAAGTTCAGTATCAATACATAATGCTGAAAAGCAAATATGTTAGCCTTATTTTATTGTAGCAATGTCATGGTTTGACTCAGGATCGGCAATTAAACCAGGAACAACAATGCCACTAGTTCAGAGAGAGCTTGCTGAAGGAAGAAAAACAATCAGTAAAAGGAAAATTGGCTTCATCCTGGCTCCAACCAGGACAAGCAGCTACAACTTTGACATCAGGGCTGAAAGATCTGATTGCTATATGCTATTTTAACCTGAGACTTTCAAGATACTTGTTCCATTTACACTACCATCAATCACTTTCCAATCCTGAAAATCACAACAAAAACAAAGGGTAACTTTTACTCTGCAACTACTAAATTCGAAAATGTCTTTTAATGAGTCCCAGTTGTCCTCTGCAATACACAAGTCTGAGTCATGCCTTTACAAAACACAAACAGCCTCTACCCCATCGGTCACCTCAGAGACTTTCTTGGCTCATCCAGGTCTTTGGCAATTCCCTGCACTCCAAGAAGTGCAGTGCTTCAGCCTCCCAAGCTTCAGGCTGGTGGGATATTCTCCCTTTATTTTTCATTCTCTTCTTACCCAAACCCCTAAAGGAATAATCCCTCCAAATACTCCCTTTCTTCCTTTGCTTCACAGAGAGAAATGAGTGCTACTTTTGTATACGTCTCCTTCCTCTCCTCACTTAAAAAACTGAAATCAAGTTATTCACTCAGTTCTCATCCTCTGACCCACTACTCTGGATTAACATCGCTGAGAATCTACAACTGCATCTCTTCCTCAATACTACATCAGTAGCTGAACAGAGAGAGGTACAAGACTGAAAAGCAAACTACTGTGGAAGTTAACGCAAAGGAGTGTGGAGGGGGAAGCAACTATATTGAAGCGATGACAGGAGATCTACCAAAAGCCAGCATTTCGATCGGCGAGAGACGCCCCATCCCAGCAAACTGGCCCTCCTGCAACCGCCGGAAAAACTCCCGTCCTTGCCCCGGCACGAAGGGGAGCACCAAAGCGCTGCGCGTGGGGGGAAGGCACCGCGGGAAACGCCTGCGCCGGGCTGAGGCGGGGCGGTGTGACCGAGTCCTAAGGCTGCGTCCTCCCGCCCGGGCCCGCCAGGCGGGGAAGGACCCCGCGGGTCCCAACGGGCGG